CTCCGCACATCTCCCTCCCTCGCCGCTCCCGCCTCGCAGTTGCTGAGGGACAACCACCGCCGAGCCCCGCCCCTCCTTCGGACACGCGCTTCCGGGTTCTGAGGGAGGCGGGGCAGACGGGCTCGGAGCGAACCATTCCCGAGGGAAGGGAGGTTCGGGAGGCCGGGTCTACCACGGAGGGAAAGGGGGGACGGCAGAAAAGAATTTCTCCCTGGGAGGAGCGGGACGATAGGCATTTCTTGCTGGGTGAGGTTCCTCCCCGCCTTTCCCTAAGGCGCGTGTCCCGTGTTGTAACTTTATTTGCACTGGGATAGATCGCTGCTCAGCACAGTCGTTCTCCTGGGTCAGCGTAGCCCAGTGTTTTTCAAACTTGGCAACTTCCAGATGTGCGGGCTTCGACTCCCAGAATTCCCCACCCAGCCACAGTTGCCAAGTTTGGAAGGACACTGGCATAGCACTTGCCTGTACCCACCAGGGCCGCAGACACAGGCATCCATGATGGAGTTCAGAAAAAGTAGATTCCCACCTCCAACATGTTTGCTTAAATTATAATGTGATTAGTTTGGGGGGTTACCATTTTAATTTGGAAGGCCTAAAGGCATCGTGAGACCTATTTTTCCCTCCAGAACAATCACCCTGTAAATGGTCCAGAAGGAAAACTGTCCCAAAATCACTAGGGGAGCTTTCATGGATGAGAGCTAGCAGCTGGGTCTCCTCCGCTTGCTCCTAGTCTTCCCTACAGTATCATACTGGCTTGCAAACATTTGCCAGATGTGGGGGCTCCTAGCTATGATTGCACAACAGGCTTACTGAATTAAGCTGATTTTCTGCTTTCAGAGGATGCAACAGAGCTATAAATGAATCCACACAATCCTATATGACAGCCTAAAATGTAACTGGCTAATACAGTGTTTCTCAACCTCAGCAACTTTAAGATGTGTGGACAGAAAGTGAGAAACCCTGCCACCTGTTGCAAACTCACACAGTGCTGTGAAGCAAGAAAGTGAGAAACCCTGCCACCTGTTGCAAACTCACACAGTGCTGTGAAGCAAGCCTAAAATGTAACTGGCTAATACAGTGTTTCTCAACCTCAGCAGCTTTAAGATGTGTGGACTTCAACATGGCTGGCTGGAGAATTCTGGGAGTTGAAGTCCACACATCTTAAAGTTGCTGAGGTTGAGAAACACTGGGCTAGGATGTGCTTCACAGCACTGTGTGAGTTTGCAACAGGTGGCAGGGTTTCTCACTTTCTGCCTGATCTCAGAAACTAAGCAAGATAACCCCTGCTATATACTTGGATGGGAGACCATTAGGAAATCTCAGGGCTGTTGGTTACAGTTGAAAAACATGGGGAATAAGGCCTTGGCAAATAAGTTCCATGTTATTTCCAAGAAATGTGGTCACTAGAAATGCTCACAAGAAATTCAGCTCAATTTGAGGAATGTTTTATCCTTAAGGTGTTTTATGAGCCAATCATTGCTGGTTGTAAGCAATGGTTTATGGCTTTGTTTGGGGTGCAAATCCAGCCAACTGGGTTTACACATGATTTAATTTGTTCTTATTCAGCTCTTCTGATTTACACAACAAACTATGATAAACAAATTGTGGCTTAAAAGAAAGGGCAAATCCACTCATTATTTGATCCTCCCAGATATCTTGAGACCACTTTCCCAGATCTGCCAGGAGGCAGATAATAATCCTAACATATTTGGAGGGCACCAGCGGAGCTGAGGGAAATCTGACTCAGAATAATCAGAAAACCAGATAAATGTTGTCTAATAAATGTATCCTTTTTTTCCATGGTGGATCTGCATACAAATTACATTTTTCAACTTGTTTTTATTCAATACAACCTTTATTCCATGTTAATCCATGTGTTTTACTACAGAACAATTCTCTTCCCCGAAGGCTTGTAATCCAAAAAGCTAGAGAATTATTTTGATGCAGGCAAATTAATTTACAAATTAATTAATTTCTAATTTATATGACAAGAAATTTGCATAGTGGATGTATGACGTTTATAGTGTGTTATATTGCTTTCAACACTGCTGTCTAGATTTAAATAATCTGCTTAGTAATTGTGTTAACATGAATTTAAAAACAAATGAAAATCTGAAAAAGAGACATCTTTTCTTAAAGGAAAATAAAAATACTCTTAGTCAACAATTATTTCATTGCCATCTTATGGATGTGTTCATACAACACACTACGTCATGGCTTATTTAACTGTGATTTGTTGCTAAGCCACAGTTGACAGGATTCCCACAAAACAAAATCTATACAAATGCTCTTTAAAATAATGTAGTAACTGCAAACAAATAAAAATAATGAACATAGGATTAGAACTAACCAGTCAAGAAAGATATGTTTGTGTCTGCAGAACACACTGAACCTTAGCCTAGTCCACTTCATTTTAATCTAGTGTACTGTGTAAGTCCAGCCAGTATGGTTAATTTATATTCTACTTTCTCATGCAAAAACAGGCAGTGGGATTAGTTCATGAATTAGTGGTTAACTGAATAGTTTTGTTTAATAGTTAATAGTGTAACATGTGGTTTGAAAAGAGCTGCTGAAACGTATTGCTCTGGCAATATGTAAAGATTATAAGGAAAAAGTAGTTTGATCTGTCAGGGTGGGTTTTCACAACTGAGGAGCAACGCAATGGAGAAAGTCCTTGATAGGCAATGGATTTTCAGGAAGACAGAAAAGATTTTCCCAGGTCTGCTTCCCACAATCTTTTTTTTTTAATTGAAACAGAAATTGCCAAAGATTTATTTATTGGAAGGTTTTGCTCTACTATAGAGTGATAATTGTTCTATTTAATTTATGCCTTGCTTAAATTACTTATTCCCCACCTTTCCAGTCTGTTGATTTACTGTATGTCAGCTTACCTAAAAAGTAATTTTAAAAAGACGCCTTTTAACCATGCATCTGATTCCCAGGAGCAAGGGATGAAGCAGGGAGTCCATTTCAGACTTCCCCTGGCCAGGAAGAACGTCACAATTCTGAGCCAAATCTTAAATGGGTTGTGTAGTTATATTGGTATTTTTGCTTTTGGGGACCATTGCACCCTCTCTTCTTCACTCCTGGAATGTAAATTTTATATTATACAGATAAAATGTGCTTAATTTTCTTAGCTCGGTGTCCTGTTTGTTCAATTTATGTATGTTCAACAAAATCTGTGATATTAAATGAGCATCAGACATCTATACTTTTACCCCACAGGGATTTTGTCTCAGTATTGTGTCTAAGTAATTTGACATCTTGAACTACACCAAACATATTGTGTGTGGAAAATATACATACATACATATGATATACACACGCACACAGACACATATAGTATACATGCAGGCATGACTTTTAATATTGTTTGCTCCAGCTGCCTGGCTGACTTTGGTTGAACTCAAAAGGTTTAGCAGGGTCAGGTTTAATTAATACATGAATGGAAGACCACCAGAAAATCCCAAAAGTGGATGACAAACCCTTTCCATATTGTCAAAATAACAACGGAGAGATCCATGAAGTCAACAGGAATTGAGGCTGACTTTAACCGACCACTGTGGTAATCAACTTACGTTTTTTGGCTGTCCTTGTGGACATCTGCTTACACAACATGAATCTGAACCAAACATGTGAGGGAGGAACACATTTCCTTGGCTGTAAACTCAATGGGCACAACCACTCTTACTTCTGGGCCAGCATGTATAGGATGGGCTGTTAGGTTTTGATGCGAGAGAACCATGACTGTAATTTTAGCAAGCTGCCCTTGGATCACTAAGAGAGTTGTAAAGGTGACACACTATAACATTCACATTAGATTTCCCTAGGCCTCTTGATCCTTAAGATCAAGAAATGATGTGGAGTCTGTTGTAGGGAAGTCACACTATGGCTCACCATCTTTCAACTGTCAATGGGCACCAAGCATTCCCCGAGTCTGGGCAACTCTTGAAATAAATCAAAAGAGACTGAAAGCACAATTAGGACATTGCAAAAGTAGTTCTCCCAGGAGGACACTTCATCCGTATCCTGTTGTCAAAATGTTCTCAAGTTACAAATTCCAGGAGTGTTTGTTTTTCTCACTCCTTTTTGTTCCCTGTCAATCTGTTCAGTACCTAGTCATTTGGTTTGCCCCAAATAAAGAGGAAATTAAAACTTGAGCTATTGAATCAATGTTCCTTTTCTGCCATGGTGATTGTACATAACTATCCTGCTTTTAGCATTCTTTATCTACCACACAACTGCAGTCATTTATTTTTATTCAGTTTATAAATATAAACATACATTTTTTATTATTGAATAATAAATTCTTTGTGATGATCTTCAGGGATGATAAATACACATATCTTGTTTGAAATAAATAAACTCCTACCTGCCCCTATACATTCTCATTAAGGGTGCTCTTTTGGACATGAGACAGCTGCTTGGTTCATAGGACGCACTGAGCTAAACTGTGGTTTGATTAGTTTAATGTGTTGGGTAAACCCAGCCCTTGCAGCCTTAAGTGTGCTCTGCAACCCCAGCCACCCAGATCATGACTAAGCAAAAAAAAAAAAAAGGTTAAACATCATGACTTTGTAAACCCAATCAAATACTTCTTCCCTTCAAAATTCAAAAATGACTATAATCCATTGTTTCCATTAGTAGGATGAACAGTAATGGAATTTTTGACCCTACTGTATCAATTCAGACAGCGTATTTGAATCCATAATCTCATTAGCCCTTGCTACAGGATAGCTACCTCCATCTTCTACAATCTCCTGCCATTGTAATTGACACTAATACTTTTGTGCACAGAATGCAAACAGGGTGATTTTCAGCAGAGGTCTGTCTGAGAATCAGATGGAGGAATGTTTCAGACTGCAGCCCCCCACAACCCCTTGTTTTATGAAATGCAAAAACCCAGGGCACACCATGGCTCACAATGATGGAGACTGATTATGTGCCATGCAGTTGGGGTTGACTCTTAGCAACCCCATAGATGGACCTTCTCCAAGGTGATCTCTCCCTAACCAGGCTCTCAGGTCTTCCAACAGCGTACCCATCACCTCTGTAATTGAGTCCATCCACCTTGCTGCTGGTTATTCTCTTTTTCCTTCCATCTTTCCCATCATTATAGATTTCTCAAGAGAGCCAGGTCTGCATGCGTCTAAAATTTCAGTCTGATCATTTGTACCTTGAGTGAGAATTCTGGATTGATTTGTTCTATGAACCCTTTATTTGTTGCCCTGGCTAAAATTTTTGGGATGACAGGAAACTATTGAACCCTGAAGTGATCATGTGGGTTGCATCTGCACCCTACACTAGGCTAAAAAGTGGTTGGTTACTTTGTAGTTCAGTATAATGTGCAAACAGGATGGCAGTTTAGCCCCACTTCAGTGGGGAATTTGCAAAATCATTATACACATGAACTGAGAGCAAACCCTGTAGCCTCTGGGTTGTGGGGGACTCTTTTCTGAGCAAAATCATTGCAGCATTCTCTGGACCAGCCTCAGATTCTAACGATGCAAGATCCATTGAAATCAATGGGTTTGCACTTAAGCAGGACACCCAATTTAATTTGCATTGATTTCAAGGGGCATAGCAGTAATAGACTAAATTCGGAGCCAAACTGGTTTATACAGGGGAACTGAAAAGAATGCTGCATTACACCCGAATGACTTATGAAAGAATCTCCCTTTGCGGATCTTGACACCCAGCGATAAAAGAGATTATGCCCTGCAGCTGATGGATAACACTATTCAAACTATGTCCCGATGCTGTATTTCTATATATATTCTTGTTGCTAAAAGCACCTGAGGCATCCTTTTTTCCTCTTGCATAACTAACCAGGGCGTCCCTTATCGACTTTTTATTCCATTTCTCCACCCTTTCTCCTAAAGTTCCGAGAACCATTCCAAGACAGCCACTACTCCTTTTCCCCGAATCCTTTGCGGTCGACGTCGTCGTCTGTCCCCCTCGTGCTCATCCCATTGGTTCCCGGGACCGGCTCGACCTATCGGCTGTGATCTTGCTTTGACCCACTTGTTGCCAGGCAGAACAACAACCGGGTTGCCTAGGTTTCCTAACGCAGCTGCGGCCTGTGGTTTTCAGAGCAAGCTCGAAGCCTCGCAGGCACTGGCTATGTTTATGTTACGCCTCGCAGCCGCGGAGGGCCGCGATGGAAGGCGATAAGGTGAGCGGTGGTTCTTATGCCAAGGCGGGAAAGAAGGAGGAGAGGAGGGTCTGTGCTTTGCAGCTTGCCCGGGAAGGGTTCCGTTTGCGGTGCCCGGCCTAGAGAGAGGAAGCTGGGCAGCTTTCGCCTGCAAGCTAGGCAAGGCTAATCTGTGTCAGGCTGCAGATTTATCTGGAATTAAGCCAGGTAGACGTAGGAGGATTTATTTCTGAGCAAGCGTGAATGGGATTGTTCGCGCCAGTGCCAAAATGTATTTGGTTTGGGCTTAATATGGTAGATGAATTTAGGAGGCCTACAAAGCCTCTGTGTTTTGTGAAACATGTCTTTATTTAAGAAGTTTCTAGCTCCCTTTTTCATCATTAAAAACAAACCCATAGGGATTCTTTACAGCACTGTTTCTCAAGCTTGGCAACTTATTTGGCAACTTGAAGATGTGTGGACTTCAACTCCCAGAATTCCCATGCTGGCTGGGGAATTCTGGGAGTTGGTCCATATATCTTCAAGGGGCTACGGTTGAGAAACACTGATTTACAGTATGTACCCAATCAGTTGTGATCAGTTCAAGAATCCATGGCTTAGTGTGAAGTGCAGCCCAGCTCATCAGTTCATCTCCCAGCATCATAGGTTCAAAAGTGGATTTCACTTTGATGGGCTTTCCCAGACATGTGCATAAAGTGGCAATTTTAGATTGCAAGTAGACTATTCTGAAGCATTCAGAGGGACTTACTTCTGAATACTGTAGTTGTTTCCTGGTTGGTTCTACCAAGGAGTGTCGGCTGGCGGGGCCCCAAAGAAGAGCCTTTTCTGCCATGGCACCTGCCCTCTGGAACATCATCCCTCCTGAGATTAAGTTGGCCCCCACCCTGCTGGCCTTCCATAAGGCTTGGAAGACCTGGTTCTGTGCCCGAGCCTGGGCCCTGGGTGGAGCCTGTTTCTAAGCTGTGTTGAGGGATTTTTAGGCTTCTCTGGCTCCTGTATGTTTTATTTCTTGTTTTATTTTAATATGTGTATATATTTTATTTGTTTTAATGTTGGGAGCCATCTAGAACCATGCACTTGAGGTGGGCAGCCATGTAAATCAAATAAATAAAATAACAGACATGCATAAGATTGCTTTGTAATTGATGCCATTAGGGGAGCTTCCTGGTCTCTAAAGATCTCTTCAGTCAAAAGGTATGTACTTAATTGTATACTTAATTACTTAATAAATGCATGTCTAACAGGATAGCTCTCTGTTGTAGCCAAACCAGCCAAAAAAAAAAAATCATATAATACTGAGAAATTTGTTATACCATCATAAATAAATAGTTCATCATATGCTTTGAATTGTAATCCATGGAAATGTGTGTTGTAATAGATTTGGTCAGACTTTGCCTCAGAGTGCCTCAAGACTTTGTAGGGCTTTGCACACTTGAAATGATTAAAAAAAAATACTTCAGACCTGCTGTTCATTAAAGTGGCTCTTCTTTTTAGGGATTCTGAATACACATGAATCAATTCCTTAAAGTAGCAGCATCTTTTTTCAGGAAGCATAAAAAAAATATTAGTAGTTTGTTTGAAATTCAAAGCACTTCTGAATCATTTTTGAAGAATGTATAAGTCTAATTCCCACTTTTTCTGTAGGAATACCTGGCAACTTACATGGGAATCTCTAGTCATCCCACATCAACCCTGTGTGCAAAGAAAATATGACTTGACCACTGAATTTTTCTGAAAGTGAACTCGGTTTCCAACTTCCCAGTCTTTCAAAATCAAAAATTGCATGTTCTGAAGCACCTTTTGGAGACTGAATAGAAAATGTTGTACAACCCTATTGTGTACCCATGCTATAAACTATTTAATTAATAGGGCTATACAACTATCTATTGTCCTGAAGTCTTGCTGTTAGTCTCTTCAGCCCAAGTCAGTTGTTCGGCTTTTCCAACTTTGTGTCACCTGAGTGCTGATTGCATTAGTGTTTATTCAAAGGAAATTGAGTTGCTTTTATAGTTTCAGGTAGTGTTAAAATAGTCTTCAAGTGAGGTACACATTTTTTTGTTTTCTTGTTTGTTTTCTTCTTCTTTAGAAAAGAACTAAAGATGACACTTGGAAATCAGATGAACTAAAGAAGCATCTTAAGGTGAATGATAATTCTACCTTAACTTTTTGTTAAGGATTTGGTAGCAAGATACATTAAAATAATTTTTATACATGCCCAAGAGCTTGGATATCATAGCAGGATTTACTTTCTTGTTTCTATGAATATCAGATTTTTGTGCCAGATTACAAATTTCTTTTGAAAGATCACACACATGTACATCTATTTGAAAGTAATTTATTAATGGCATATATTTGCTATTTGATACTTCCTAATACCTCCAGGAGTCAAGACTGATTTGAAGGCACCAAAAAAAAAAAGGTAATAAACCAACAATGTTAGTGACTAGAAGTTTTTTAAGAAACAGTTTATTTTGGATTTCTGAAAGAATCTGAATTGAAAATGATATTCAAAATTACTTATTTGAAGTCTTTCTCAAGACAACAGTCTTACACAGGATTGTTAGGGATGGGAGAGAAGGCTTGTCTGCACTTTGAGCAACCCTGATATCAAAGTATGAATCGAATCATGATTTCCTTGACCATGGTTAGTTAAGTAAATAAATGCTTTAGTGCTTTGTATAAACTCAGCTAGTGTATATATAGTTGAATGTATATATGGGTAACGTCCCACCCAGTTTGTGCAACTCCAAAATGTTATGAACTTCTAGCATTCAACTATTAATCATTATACTAATTGCTGTGTGAGAAATAAAAGGAAGGTTGAGTGCAAAAACCTAGGCTTTTCAGAGCTCATTCTTTAAGAGCAAGCCATAGCTTAGTATTCTATCGCAGAATACTATCTGCAAGTATATCAACCATTACTTTCTCATGTGTATGCTGGAAGGATAAATGTTAATTATTACATTGTTTATTGAGAGGATATTTCTGGAAATGTATTAATTGCTTTGCCAACCTTCCTTTTATAACAGATGTGCAGAACCTGACCCTGCTCCCCAGATCCCAGAAAATCTCTGAAAGTTGTTTTAAAACTGTATCTTTTAACATGATAAAAAAGGAAAATATTTAATATATTACTGCCAAGAAAGCTGATTAAATATATTTAAATTTTAATTGCTTTTAAATCTAAATAAACTAAAATCAGGCTTAATTTCATTCCTCTGGTTTGATCCTTGATTCTTTTTTCACTTTCATGCCAGTGAATACCAATTATGCTTCTTGGCCCAGAAAAAAAATGTGCTCTCCTGTTTTTCATCATTGTGCATTTTTTCTGTGGTTGTGAAGCCTTATTTCTAGCAAAGCCAGACTTCTTACTGTATTGATGTTGACTCAGTAGTACTAGAATTATTCTAGCTTATAGACAAGTGTCTGAAAAATAAGATGGTGCCCAGTAAAGCAGTCTTTGTTATTTCTACTGGAGAACCTGTGTACTGAGGGAAATTAGAGGAATATCCATGCTGTATCCTATCACAATTGCCATACAGATTAGAATTTCTGTTTTTTAAGACATTTTAGACTAAATTCAGTTCTGCTTATAGAGCTTTCCTGTTGGCAGTTCTCTTCCAGAATAAGTAAAAGATAAAACTTCATAGACTAAAACTGATATATAAAAATATCCTCCCTTTTTTAGGTGTCTCGATCCGATAGTCAGTCTGAAGACAAGAGGCATCATCGGAGAAAATCACGAGACAGAGGCAGAAATGATGACGATGATAGCAACAGAGTGGGTTTGCAGAAGGATCCAGAGAAGGACAGAGTCAAATTAAAAGAAAAAGGAGAAAAAATAAGATTTAAATCAAGTGAAAGACACAGAGAGGAAAGAAGAGACAAAGGAAGAGAGAAAGATCATCCCGGAGAACAAGAGAGAGAGATTAAAGTAAATCATGAAAAAGATGCCAAAGAAGAAAAATATATCTCTGGAAGAAGTGGCGAAAGGCACAGTGGTAAAGAGAGGGATAGGAAACCTAAAAAAGATGAACCCAACCAAACACCACCGCGAAATAGTGCGGAGACTTACAAGGAAAGGGATAAAGAGCATGAGAGGAGGAGGAGGAGAAGCAGCAGGGATAACACTGGTGAGCTGGTTTGCTTATGTGTTCATTCTGCAATGACCCTCCTTATTTCGTAAGTGAAAATGGATTGGACCCACTTTCAGTCAGTCATCTATTTTACTTCTCATCTTCTTGAAAAGGTAGTCTGTCATAACTAAACAGTAGTAGCCTGGAAAGAAGAAGGGTCAGTAGCTCCAACACTCTTACCCTTGGCCATGCAGCTTGGGATTGATATGTGGGGAAGATGTGTAAAAAAGCTTTTGAAGGACATCAGCTTGCCAGTCCTGAAAACAGAGGAAGTTGTTGCTGTTAAGAAAAGTTTGATGGTTTTAATTGTCTCTTTTCTGAACACACTTTAGATGCTTCTTGGGAAGTTATAATGTACATTTTGTCTATTGAATACAGTAGAGTTTGTAAGGTTCAAGACAATCTTCTAAATTTTGGAGATGTTATTTTTAGATTATTCAAAAATAAAAGATGAAGAAAGAGAAAGAAGGCAACATTCAGAGAGAAAGGTAAGAGAAATAAAAACAATAAGAAATGTATCATTGCACCATAAGATGAAATTGAAAAATAATTCATTGTTTATAGTCACAGCCCCAGAAATCACATTCAACAGAATATATTTGTGTGTCTGTGTGTCTGTGTATTTAAAAATACTTTTGACTTAACATAATGTCATGTCTCTGGGAATGAAAGAAAAAATTCAGAATGGCTTTCTGAGAGCAAAATGTGGCGTTCAAAGAATTTGGTTTTAGCCCTCAAAAATTATAGAAAATCACAAGCCCTACTGAAATTAGTGGGTTTAAAGTTTTTTTTAACTGTGTTTTTACAAAATGTTTTAGAATTTTTTTTTAGAAAAAAAACATTCTAGGTATAGATATGGATATGGATATGGATATGTTATGAGCCAGTTTGGTGTAGTGGTTAAGATGCTGGCCTAGAAACCAGGAGACTGAGTCCTAGGCCTCCTTAGGCATGAAAGAGGCTGGATGACTTTTGGCCAGTCACTCTCTCTCAGCCCAGTTCACCTCACAGGGTGATTGTTGAGGGGAAAATAGGAGGCATGAATTTTAGGTATGTTCGCTACCTTGAGTTGACCAAATATATATATTTTTTAAAAGGCAGGATAAAAATCTAAATAATAATAATAGGTATTTATAGCCTTAAAAGTTAAAAATTTTAATGATGTAGTTAACCATCTTCGTTAACTTAATTTTAGTTTTATGTACAAGCGTATATTCTTACATTGCTTTTAGCATCTGCTAGACCTCAGGGTTACCTGAGTTATGGCCCTGTGCTTTTACTACACCTTCCATACAGATCTGGCAGTCCTACATTCTGCACCACAATGTGTTTTTTTCTAGAAATATTATATCCAGTCCTTCTAAAGATGTGCATCTTCCACTGAAGATCAGCAAGTACAGATACTCCATGGGCAAGGAGAACAGTCACACTGATTTTGATTTTGTGCAAGGGCAAAGGAGGAGTTCTCTAAAATACCTCTGCAATGACCATATGGCCTTCTTGGGTTTACATGCCAATAGCAAGCTCATTCTCACAAAATGAATGCTTGTATAGCCAGAGGAGTGGGATTTGCACATGAGGGAGATATTGGAGAACCCCATGGTTGCAGATGTGTAATAAATAAATAAATATCAGAGCAAAACCTAAGGACAGTGAGAACAAAATCAGCATGATGAAAAGTGTGTATATTCAGTGCGAACAAAATGATGATTCTAAAGCAGGGTTCCTCAACCTTGGCGGCTTGAAGATGTGTGGGCTTCAACTCCCAGAATTCCCCAGCCAGCATGGCTGGTTGCGGAATTCTGGGAGTTGGTCCACACATCTTCCAGCCGCCAAGGTTGAG